GCTGCCCCCATCGCGGTCCCGGAGATTTGTAGGAAGAATTGATCCTCAAATTTGAAGTAGTTGCATGTTAGCGCTAAATTCAACAACTCCATGAGAAAGGGGATGTGTGGGCCTTTGTACATTTCATCGTTGACTAATATCTCAGATATAGCCTCAATCCCCTCCTTGTGGGGTATTATTGTGTACAAGAATTGAACATCTAGTGTGGCCAAAATAATCTCTCTGTCTGTAAATTCAATCATTTTTATTTGATCAATGAAATGTTGCGTGTCCCTAAGACATGTAGGGAGCTTCCTGACGCTTGCGTTGATGTAGTAATCGATAAATTGCGCAATCGTGCTCCCTTTACCTATCTGTTCTATATTTAACGCGGGATGCACCTAGGCAGTATAATATTTTTTGAAAGCCCAGCATAAGGAGTGCCTAGCAATTGGATTTGTGTATATATATATATATATATATATATATATATATATATATATATATATAAATAAAAATACTTTTAATTCATTTTAAACTTTTTTTTATTTTTATTTATTACATCCCACCAGCAGGAGGACTGTCTGATATTTCAGACAGTCCCCCTGCTGGCAGATCCACAGCCAGCTATAGGGGGCTATGTGATCGCTCTTTGAGAGCGATCACATAGCCCCCGGGGGCCTCATTTGCCGGGGGAGGGCAGCCCTCCGGAAGAGAATCGCGGCGGAGGTGAGTAGTTGGTGGCTCCTGGGGGCTTAAGCCGTTACGGTGTTCTATGCCACCGCAACGGCTTTAAAGCCCTTTAAATGTGGGACGGCATAGAACGCCGTAGCGGCGTTAAGGGGTTAAGCGTAAGACAAGCTTCTGAAGCGGTGTCCTTAAGGGGTTAAGCGTATTGTGTTTGTCTATACCTGTGTATTTAATAGGATGAAAAAAGACAATTTATGACCAAGTCATACAGAAAACAAACTAATTCCTGTATTTTGAGGATTTGAGTATAGAAACACTGTTGTGTATTAAACCTGCAGATTTCAGTTACATATATTGTGACAAAAGTATATTTCTACATATTAACCCCCTTAAGGACTGAGCCAAATGTACACGTTGTGATCAAAACAAAACAGAGAGAAAACCTTGAATTTGCGCTATATGTCTGTTCAACCGTAATTCGCCTCTTTCATACTAAGTGCACCCACACTTATATATCATTTTATTCAGGGGAAACAGGGCTTTCATTTATCATCAAATATTTTAGGTATGAAACATAATTTAATATGAATAAAAGATAAAAAAAAAATGGGAGAAAATTTGATTTTGTTTTCATTTTTTAGTTCTACGTGACATTCTAACTGTCAATGTCATAATACTGTTTGCTTTTACAGCAATAAAATACACATATTTGTATTCAGCGATGTCTCACGTGTAAAACAGTACCCCCTATGTACAGGTTTTATGGTGTTTTGGGAAGTTACAGGGTCAAATATAGCATGTTACATTTTTCAGTTTTTTTTACATTGAAATTCGCCAGATTGGTTACGTTGCCTTTGAGACCGTATGGTAGCCCAGGGATGAGCTTTACCTCCATGATGGCATACAATTTGCAATAGTAGACAACTCAAAGTATTGCAAATGGGGTATGTTCAGTCTTTTTTAGTAGCCACTTAGTCACAAACACTGGCCAAATTTAGTGTTAATACTTGTGTGTGAAAAATGCAAAAAAATTTCACTTTCACTGACAATATCCTCACTGTGATAGGTTTTCCTGTTTTAAAACACTAATATTTGTGTTCAGGAAAGTCTACCGAGTAAAGCAGTACCCCCCATGTACAGGTTTTAGGGTGTCTTGGAAAGTTACAGGGTTAAATACAGTGCTAGCAAATTCAATTCTCAGGACTTTCAGCCTGGGTTGTCAGGCAGGTCCCGCAAATTGTAATTAATAAAATTACTTAATTATGTAAAAATATTACATAAACATGCACATAGAATTTAAATATATATACATATATATTTGAAGTCTACGTGTATATTTATGAAATTATTTATGTAATTATGTATATGGACATATGTATATTTCGTATTATTTTAATTTATTTATACACATATATATTTTGATATAATATATATTAATATCAAAATAGTTAGAATAAAATTACATATATATAAATAATTGTAACATTTTTATTTTTAAATATACACACGTGTGTGTAATTTTACACTTAGTATGACATATATATATATCATATTAAGTGTATTTTTTTAAATTAATATATACATATATTAATATAAAAATACACTTACAGTAAAATTACACACACACACACACACACACGTGTGTGTATATATATATATATATATATATATATTATTTTTTATTTTTTTTTTAAATTTACTTTTTTTTCCACCAGCAGGGGGACTGCCTGTCAGCTATGGATACCTATTGCTGTCACATGGCCCCTGGGGTTCCTAATTTCCAGAGGGGTGTGGGGGGACGGCAGCAATCGGGTTAGTACATATGGAGGGAGGGGTTCATTTTTAATGTATTTACTATTATTTTTTGTAGTTTATTTTTCTTCACCGAGTGCCATTAGATCGGCTTTGCAGAGCATGAAGATGCTGAACGGAAGTACTGCACACTGTGCAGCACGACCCCAGGAAGCACCTCCATTGACCATCTGAGGAGTGGCCACTGGAGGTGTCACATGTGAAGGCTCTTGAAAAGCAGTGTTTACATGAAAATGTCTGCAGGGAATGATTAAACTCACCAAAACAACTACAATAAGCTGTAGTTGTTCTGGTGACTATAGTGTCCCTTATATTTTTTAGCAATGTAAGCTACAGTAAATCTTCTGTGTGATTGGACCAGGTGGGCTAGCCTTTGCTCCCCACGTACATCAATGAGCCTTGGCACCCATGACTCTGACGTCAGTTCACCAGTTGTCTTTCCTTGCACCACTTTTGGTAGGTACTAACCACTGCACACCAGGAACACCCCACAAGACTTGTCGTTTTGGAAATGCTCTGACCCAGTCTCTAGCCATCACCATTTCACCTTGTCAAAGTCACTCAGATCTTTTCACTTTCCATTTTTCCTACTTTCAACACATGAAATTCAAGAACTGACTGTTCTCTCGCTGCTGAATATATCCAACCCCTTGACAGGTGCCATTGTAACAATATAATCAATGTTATTCACTTCACCTGTCAGTGGTTTTTAATGTTGTGGCTGTGTATATTACCCTGAAACAGTGGCATTAGACCAGGGAGCTAAAAACAAACAAAAAAAACTTCATTGGTGGCTTCAAAACCCTGAGAAATGAAATGGAAGAGTCTTCTGCAGCATGTTGCCGGATACTGTGATGGAATTGGAGGCCAGCAGAGTAGCCTGTGGAGCACGCTGTGTAGAATTTTCTACTAATGCCAGATAGAGAAGAAAAACCAAATGCACATTATTTGCCTCCAACACTTTGCAAGATCTTTAGCACTCAAAGTTCAGTCAAAGACAAAATCCAAAATTACGAAGGACTAATGTCCAGAAAAGAGCCATGGACTGCAAGGTTCCACCTTCTAAATCTGGTGAACATGGCGCCAGGTCTAGACCAGAAGTTGAAGTCTGTCTGAGAGTGAATAGCAAGGTGCCCAAACGATTGCGGTGAGTCCAAAGTAAGATTTGCAGGTAATTTGCAGTATGGAGAGTTTTACTGTGTTTGCCCTCACCACAATCAGTTTGACACCTAGCTATGTGCTGTCAGAGAGAATTTAACTTCCAGAACAAAACAACATGTTAATGAGACCCACAAGGTCTAAGCACTACAGTCCATGGCTGGTTACTTGCCATTGGTCCTTTCCAATCACAAACCATGCTATGGCTTCAGAATAAGCCGTGTCCATTGCCAAGGGTACCTACAAAAATACAGGTAAAAAGCTGTGAAAACATGATTTTTGGAGTTTACGTATCCAATGGGGGTCTTAAATTTCAAAGTCACTTTGAATTCCTAGAAATTCTCACTGTAATGAGAATGTAAATGCCCCTATCGGTTTTAGAAGACATTAGTATAAAGAATATACGTATAGAGTATACGATTAAATAACTTACCTTGTCTTTCTTGGTTTTATTAGGCATATTGATGGGGCACTGGAAGGGTGATGCCTTCTGTGTCAGGGTGACTATTGCCGACACTGTCTTAGGACTTTTCTTGCACTCGTTTGTTTGTGGGGCCTAGCAGTCTTTCTGTATGTCTGAGTTATGGCAGCCAGTCCCTCACTATGTGGTATATAGCTATTCTATAACTCAGTCAGTCTGTGACTGTCTCCCTACATAGAGCAAATCTGTTTGTGTAGGACTGTTCAGTATTTCTCTACAGATGTGCCCCTATATGAAGTAAGTCAGTCGCTGTGCCTGTCTCTCTGTATACTCTTTGACTACCTCTATATACAGATTATGCTGTGTCTTGCTACACACAGAGCAAGCTGTCTGCATGTCTCTCTACACAGTGGGTATGATGGTCTCTGGCTACACATAGAGTTATAGTGTCCGTCTGGAAGCCCCTCTATATATACAGAATATATTGTATCTCTTGCTTTATAGATAAAAGTGCTAGCTGCCAGTGTGTGTGTGTGTGTGTCTCTCTCTCTCTCTCTCTCTCTCTCTCTCTCTCTATATATTTATTTATTTTTAAAAAGAGCTGCGCCGTCCGTCTCTCTACACACAGAGCTATGCTGTCCGTCTCTTTACACACAGAGCTATGCTGTCCGTCTCTCTACACACAGAGCTGCGCCGTCCGTCTCTCTACACACAGAGCTGCGCCGTCCGTCTCTCTACACACAGAGCTGCGCCGTCCGTCTCTCTACACACAGAGCTGCGCCGTCCGTCTCTCTACACACAGAGCTGCGCCGTCCGTCTCTCTACACACAGAGCTGCGCCGTCCGTCTCTCTACACACAGAGCTGCGCCGTCCGTCTCTCTACACACACAGAGCTGCGCCGTCCGTCTCTCTCTACACACAGAGCTGCTGCCCGTCTCTTACACACAGAGCTGCGCCGTCCGTCTCTCTACACACAGAGCTGCGCCGTCCGTCTCTCTACACACAGAGCTGCGCCGTCCGTCTCTCTACACACAGAGCTGCGCCGTCCGTCTCTCTACACACAGAGCTGCGCCGTCCGTCTCTCTACACACAGAGCTGCGCCGTCCGTCTCTCTACACACAGAGCTGCGCCGTCCGTCTCTCTACACACAGAGCTGCGCCGTCCGTCTCTCTACACACAGAGCTGCGCTTTCCGTCTCTTTACACAGAGCTATGCTGTCCGTCTCTATACACACAGAGCTATGCTGTCCGTCTCTATACACACAGAGCTATGCTGTCCGTCTCTATACACACAGAGCTATGCTGTCCGTCTCT